GGACGCAGTGTCTCGTTCCCTACTCAGGGAACCATGGTTACATAAGTAACCTGAGACGTTTTTCTAGCTTATTTTAGTTTATTTAATTTTTGTATTTAATTTAATTTTATTTTAGTTTAGTTTAGATTAGTTTAGTTTTTCTAGTTTATTTTATTTTATTTTATTTTAGTTTAGTTTAATTTAATTTAATTTAATTTAATTGAATAAGTTTAGTTTAGTTTAGTTTAGTTTACTTTATTTTATTTTATTTTAGTTTAGTTTTTCTAGCTTATTTTAGTTTATTTAATTTTTTAATTTAATTTAATTTAATTTAATTTAATTTAATTAAATTTTATTTTATTTTAGTTCATTTTAGTTTAGTTTTTCTAGTTTATTTTATTTTATTTTAGTTTATTTTTTCATTTTATTTTATTTTATTTTAGTTTAGTTTAGTTTAGTTTAGTTTAGTTTAGTTCAGTTTATTTTATTTTCAGTATCCAACAAAGCAGTTCAGGGTATTTAGAACCGCAAACAGAATCATCACACAATGAATATATAGAAGTGGTAGTAGTAGTCAAAAAAAAAATTCATCAAAGTTGTCCTACGATAAAACGCATTTTGGTTTTAGGTTTTAGGACAATGAAAGGTTTTGATCCACTTAAAATGTTGACTAGTACACACACACACACACACACACAAACAAACAAAACAAAAAGCTCAAGCTCACCAGGATGAGTCTGAGGGTCAGTACTGAGATACGGGTAGAAGTCATATATCGGCCGAGCATCTGGATCATGCGGAATTAATTCTTCTGACAACTGAAAAATAAATAATTAATTAAATTAATTAATTTTTCAGATTTTTTTCTCCACATTTTTGCTTTTTACCTATTTATATAAAGGTTCACTAAATTGTATTTATACAAAACTTACTAAATGACCAAAAAGACAAGTAAAAAATGATAAAAAAAAAAAGAATTTTTCAGATTTGCCTGGAAAAGTTTCAAATGTTTGAAACAGAATGCAATCTCTGATGTACTTACAGGTGAAATAACACAGCCTTCCATTCTGTAATGCAACATGAAGCCCTTCACTCATATATCTTCTCCTGTGGCGTCTATCTCACAGTTTCCCACCAGTGTACAGAATATTGCATAACGTGGAAATTACTTCACAAGAGCGCTGTACTGTGGTATCGCAAATGCGTCAAATCTTGTTTTCAAACTCTTCTGCCTTCAGCTTCACCGTCCTGATGTGAGAAAGACTAAATTTCCTGTATTGCCCATAAGTGATTAAGATGACCTCACTGAAGCATCTGGACTCTGATTGGTCAAATGTGGCGACGACTCATGATTTTTCATTTGTGACACCATCAAGGGATTTCGGCCAATCATGATCCAGTTGATGGCTTGGCTTTATGTGTGTCTCTTAGATGATTATATGTTTTAATTATTAATGAGTAAAGTTTACAGATGATACATTTGACCAATTTTAGAAAGATTACTTAATATATTGTGTGCACACTCCAGACCTGCCTAGATAAAAGTACATCAAACTTTCTGCTCTTAAATAGAATATTGTACTATTTTCACCGCTTCAGGGTGTTGTAAGATCTTAATCATGGATTCTATAGACCAGTTTCTGCCGCATTGTTCTATTGTGTAATACAGTAAACGTGTATTTGTAATAGTATGAGCAAAGCTAAAGAAAAGCTCTGTTTTTGTGTTTATGAGTTGTTGAGTAAATAGGCCGTGTGTTGTGGCCTTGAGTCAGTCAATCAGAGGGAACGTTTTACATGTGCTATTTTCTGAGAATCATAAACTTCAGCATTCGCCCAAAGTGAAGTTCTGAGAGAGCTTTGTTCCCTTTTTAATCAAAGCATCGCACTGTTGTCGCAGATTTTGAGGAAGCAACTACTATTGCAGAATAGACAAATGCACTATTCTGTGTTTGGCCTGGATTTTCATATGCAAAACTCGACTGACATTAGGTGTTTCTGGCTTCGTTTCAAAAGTGGAAAAATTTGAGAGAAAATACATTTTTTAAATTATTTTATTGTATTTTCATTATGAATAAAACGGAATAAAACTATAACTAAATAAAATTAAAGTCCATCCATCCGTCCGTCTATCTATCTGTCTGTCTGTCTGTCTCTCTGTCTGTCTATCTAT